GGAGATAACATTGGCACCTGGTGAGTCATCCCGAGCCATAAAACAATTGACATAAATCTTGAGGAAAGGCACGTTTCCAAGTAAAGACATTGTGTTAGTAACATAGCTTAGGAGAACATTTGCATGAGTAAAACATACTGGTTTGCAGAACCGACTTGAAGACAGAGTCTAGGGTGAATACACAGCTCATTAACATACCTTAAGAAAAAATTTGCATGAGAATAATGCATTGGTTAGCTCAGGGTTGAGAAAAGTTCTGGTGGAACCAGGTGTTTTCATGGCAACACAGAGTTTTAAAAGAAACCTTTCTAAAAAATTTATATAGAGAAGGAGAAAAAAACCTAACTCTTGTAGTTTGTTTCCTCCTGCTGCTTAAGAGAGAGAAAAAATGTCTGACACTTGCAGCCTGTTTCCTCTGTTTGGAGCCCCGTGGCCTTCCTGCCTGTTGGCCTGTCACAGGATGGTCACAGTCCACTGTGTGCAGTGACTGTGTGTCCGCCCACAGGCTGGACGACTGTGGCCTCACGGAGGTGCGCTGCAAGGACATCGGTTCCGCGCTCCAGGCCAACCCGTCCCTGAAGGAGCTCAGCCTCCGCACCAACGAGCTAGGCGACGGTGGTGTGCTCCTGGTGCTCCAGGGCCTGCAGAGTCCCACCTGCAAGATCCAGAAGCTCAGGTAAGGCGCTGGGTCGGACCCTGCGAGTGCAGGACAAGCCTGCCCGTCATTCCCGGGCCCTGAGTCTCCCACAGCCAAGGGTGACTTGTCTTCATGGGGGGCTGGGTGGCTCTCGGGCCCCCTGACGGCCGGTGTCTCCAGCCTCCAGAACTGCTGCCTGACGGAGGCTGGTTGCGGGGTCCTGCCTGGCGTGCTGCGCTCCCTTCCCACCCTGCGGGAGCTGCACCTCAGCGACAACCCGCTGGGGGATGCCGGCCTGCGGCTGCTCTGTGAGGGGCTCCTGGACCCCCAGTGCCGCCTGGAGAAGCTGCAGTGAGTGCGCCTGCCCGGGGTCCTGCGTGGTCTCACCTGCCCCCGGTACCCCCAGCCCTGTTCTCACCTATCCCCTGTGTTTTGCGGAGTGTCTGCCTGGGCAGGCCCCCTCCCAGCTCATCGCCTGCAGAGAGCTTTGAGGCGGTGGCCCTGTGGCCCTGGGGAACATAAATGGGGTCAGTGTTGGCTGGAGAAGGCTGAGGCCGAAAGGTGTCCACCTCCGGGGTCTCTACCAGGGAGATGGCCCCCGACCCCTGTGCTGTCCCGCCTGGGAGCCCGCCAGTCTCTGCCGTCTTCATCACCGGGGTGGGTGGAAATAGGACCCTGACGGGGGCCCTTCGGGCCAGGCTCAGGGCTGACGGCTGCTCGCCCCCAGGCTGGAGTACTGCAACCTAACGGCCGCCAGCTGCGAGCCCCTGGCCGCGGTGCTCCGGGCCACGCGGGACCTGAAGGAGCTCGTGGTGGGCAACAACGACATTGGCGAGACCGGCGCCCAGGTGCTGTGCCGGGGCCTGGCGGAGTCCGCTTGCCAGCTGGAGACACTTAAGTAAGCTCCTGGAGGGAGGGGGCGGGGGCGGGGTCGGTGGACGTGGTGGTGGTGGGGGCACCCCAGCTCCCGGCTCCTCTCGTGCCCCCAGATTGGAGAACTGCGGCCTCGTGGCAGCCAGCTGCAAGGACCTGTGCAGGCTTGTGGCCTCCCAGGTCTCGCTGAAGGACCTGGACCTGGGCAGCAACCGGCTGGGCGACGCGGGCCTGGCGGAGCTGTGCCCTGGGCTGCTGAGCCCCAGCTCCCAGCTCAGGGCCCTGTGGTGAGTCCGCCCCCGGGCGGGGCGGGCAGACGGGCACCCCCTGAGTGTCTCAGGGTCTCTTGTGTTGACGGGGACCCCACCCTGCAGGCTCTGGGAGTGTGACCTCACCGTTAGCAGCTGCAGAGACCTCTGCCGCATCCTCCAGACCAAGGAGACCCTGAAGGAGCTGAGTCTGACAGGCAACAGCCTGGGTGACGAGGGCGCTCAGCTGCTGTGCGAGAGCCTGCTGCAGCCCGGCTGCCAGCTGGAGTCCCTGTGGTGAGGGGGCTGCGGGGCCGCGGGGGCTGGAGACCCTGTGATACTGGGGCTGTGGGGCGCGTGGGGGCTGAAGGCCCCAGGGGCTCGGGGTCGGATGTGGGGGGAACGGGGGGCGGCAGCGTTGGGGCCTTGGAGGACCAGGCAGGAGGGCGCTGTGGCCACCTGAGGACGGGGGCGGGGGGGCATTCAGGGCTTGTGTTCGGGTCCCTGGGGGCCTCCCAGCGCCCCCCAGAAGTGTGGGCCGAGGCGACTGCAGCTCCTCCCGCCCTCAGGGTGAAGTCCTGCGGGTTCACGGCCGCCTGCTGCCAGCACCTTGGCTCAGTGCTGACCCAGAACAAGCGTCTCTTGGAGCTGCAGCTGAGCAGCAATCCGCTGGGTGACGCGGGCGTCCACGTGCTGTGTCAGGCCCTGGGCCAGCCGGGCACCGTGCTGCGGGTGCTCTGGTGAGCTGCTGGGGGGGTATGTCCACTGGGGCTGACGGTGGGGACGGCCAGGACCTAGACCCCCCCGGCGCCCTTCGGCCTGATGGCCGCCTGGGGGGTGCACCTTCCGCCTGACCGCAGTTCTGCCCTCTGCCCAGGGTGGGTGACTGTGAGCTGACGAACAGCAGCTGTGGTGACTTGGCCTCACTGCTGCTGGCCAACCGCAGCCTGCGGGAGCTGGACCTCAGCAACAACGCCCTGGGCGACCCCGGCATCCTGCAGCTGCTGGGCAGCCTGGAGCAGCCCACCTGCGGCCTGGAGCAGCTGGTGTGAGTGGCCCTGGGGCGTGGGGCAGGGGTGGTGGGGTGTAGGTGGGCAGGGGCAGGCAGGTGAGGTGCCAAGGTGGGTGGGGGGAGGGGGGCACGGCTCCTCTGACCCCCCCACTGCAGCCTGTACATCTACTGGTGTGAGTGGCCCTGGGGCGTGGAGCTCAGCTCCTCTCACCGCCCCCCCGCCCCGCCCCTCGCAGCCTGTACGACATCTATTGGACCCAGGCAGTGGACGAGCGCCTGCAGGCCGTGGAGGACAGCAAGCCTGGCCTGCGGATCATCTCCTGAGCCTCGTCCCTGTGGGAGTCCTGGCTTTAACTTGAGAAAAGGTCAAATCAGCTCATTTCCGGCAGAGAATTTTAGGCACTTTATTAAAATTCTTTTTTGGCAGTAGGCGTCTCTGTCCATACTTGTCCCCACGCGGTGCAGGTGTAGAGGGAGACATTTCCACGAGCGCCTGTAGTGGCCTGAAGCTGGTCAGGAGTCGGGTCCAGGCCCGGAGTGTGCCCAGCAGGCTCTTCCACAGGGGTCCAGCCTGAGCTCCCAGGTGCTGGCAGGGCCCCCGCAACCCACGCAGGCCTTCCTCCGGTTTGTGAAAAGAGTGTCCCGCCTGCACGGAGGGGCACTGGAAGGGGCCCTGCCTTGCCTCAGCCAGCAGCGCTCCTGGCTGCCCGTGTGAGCTGGCTCCCAGGGCCTGGCTCCCGCCAGTGGCTGGCTCCCAAGTGTTCTCTGGGTAGAGGCTGGAGCCCAGTGGACAGAAGGGCAGGGTCCACCCCATCGAACTAGCCTCGGTTGTGCTGTGGGTGAACCCATAGGGGTGACCTGCCCTGAGCAGCACAAACAAGCTGTAGACTCCGGGCAGCTTTCAGAGAGTCAGAAGCCTGTGTAGTTAAGTTCCTGCCTTCACTACAAAGCCCTTCAAGGTGCCCTACCTGGGACCCTGGCTTCTTACCCTCCCCCAGAAGGAACAGGCTCCACAGAGAGATGGGTGGTCCTAGTCTAGGCGGGAGATGCTCAAGTGGCCAGAAATCAAGGGGGGCTCCTGGGGACGGCAGAAGCCGGGAGGTGGACTGGGACCAGAGTGACCATGAACCCCGGGGGAAGCCCGGCGGACGGGACGCTTCGTGCCCCTGTAATGGTGGGAAGGCATCAGCCCTGAGCCCAGATCAAAGCTGACACCAAGGCCCTGTGTCTCCTCCCAAAGCGAGAAAGCCCCCCCCTGAAGCCAGAGGCTGAGAAACAGCTCAACAGCTCAATGCACAAGCGCAGCGGTGGGCATAGGTGTGAGGTCGATCCTTCACTCTAGGTTTGAAATTCTCCCAAAAAGTAGTTATCAGGCCAAAAATAACCAAGGAAAAGAGCTTTGAAGCAGTGGTGCTCCAAGAGCCAGGCCTGTCGGGAGTGTCCTTGCTTCTCTTCATCTGTGTGTGTGAAGCTTGAGACAGTCCACCGACCTCGGGGGGGCAGCGGGGGGCCAGCACTACCCACGTCTCACTAGTCTGCCAGGACTTGTGTCCAGGGGTGCGGGGCGGGGCAGGGCAGCACAGGGAAGGACAGGGCTGAGGGGCAGCGAGGAGACATGGAACTGCAGGCCTCCACCACGGCTTTTATTTGCTGTTTGCTCGTGGAGCTGACCTCAACTCTGGGCCACAGAGACCCTCATGACCTACTCTCGTGACAGTGGGGGCCAGGCCTTGGGCCTCTCTGCTTCCAGCACCGTCCACGCGCCCTCCAGGTTAGAGGGTCAGATGGAAGATCCTGAGGAATGGAATGTGCCCTCCCTCAGCCTCTTCAGAGTGTGCCTGGACGACTATGCTTCACACAGGCCGCCAGGGGGTCGTGGGGAACCCGTGGGGCCCAGGGAGCAGGCGGGCACCGCGATGCCACTGTCTGGGCCATACCATCTGGGTCCTGAAGCTCGGGGTCGTGGAGATCCCGGGCTGACTGCACAGAGGGGCAGGGGCTCTGGCTCCACAGGGACCGGTGGGCCTGGGGTGGGGGTGGGGAGCCCTGGAGCCAGGAGCACACGCTCAAGCACTCATACGCCCAGGTGCCTGCACACACACACACACACACCGCACACACACCAGCCCAGTGCCACCGTACACATGGGCGGAAAGGGAAACGGAACCTTGAGGGCTGAGGCTATCGGAAGGTTCATGGCGAGAATCACCAAGGACCAAGGGCCCAGGCGTCAGTGTGGGGCCGGCACCCCTTCTCTGTCGGCCTCCTCGGGCCCCGGTGTGCGCCCGTCCACGCTGCCGTCCGCCCTGCCCTGGTCGTCCTTGCTCTGCTGCTTCTGCCGCCGTGTCTCCTTGTATCTCAGGGTGATGTCCCTGCGGGCAGCAGGGGCGCGTCACCACAGGCCAGCCCGCGGGGGTCCCTGGACCCCGCTCCGCAGAGGAGCTCAGGGCCTGGGGCGGCAGGCAGGACACTCGGGGCCGCGGCGGCTCACCGCAGGAAGAAGCGCCAGACGGTCCACGTGAGGGCGAGCACGGAGCCGAGCGTCCAGCACTGGGCGATGTAAAAGGGCAGGGACAGCGTCAGCGTGTGCGGGTCGTACTTCACCACGATCAGCAGCTCCGTGGCGGTGATGGCGGCCACCAGCCAGGCCTGCTGGCCCAGCTTCCTGTGCAGCGTCCTGCGGACAGAGGTGGGGCTGCGCCGAGGCCGAGGGAAGCCCCGCCCGCAAGGCCCCGCCCCGCCCCGCCCCACGCGGCCCTTACGGGTCGTCCATGAAGTCGTAGATCTCCCGCATGGCCACACCGCCCACGTTGACGAAGAAGACGAGCCGCAGGAGGACCAGGTAGTGCTCAGGGGGCAGCCACAGCACGAACTTCAGGTAGAAGGTGTTCAGCTCTGCCAACAGAAACTGGGGGCAGAGGAGGGTGGCGGGGAGCCCGGGCTGCGGTGCACGGGAAGCCCAGCTTCGCCAGCCTTACCACCAGGATGATGCCGCACACGGCCAGCCAGCGGCGCAGGCTGGAGGCCGGCTTCCACTCGAAGCGGACCCAGCTGTAGGGCGTGAACTGGAACACGATCCTCTTCATCTTGCCCCTGGAACCAGCGCCCGTTAGCTAGGGCAGTGCGCTCGGGGCACACCCACCTCGCCCCCCGCCCCACCCCGGCTTTTTCCTGGACGGTTCTACTTCTTCACAAGAGGGAGGCAGCCCGGGAGGGGTGACCCCAGAAGGGCTGGAAGGGAGGACAAGGAGCTGGGTGGCCAGGATGGACTGACGTCCTGGTCGCCATAAGAGCAATGCCCAGAGTCACATCCCAGGTGGAGTTCACAGGAGGCAACATCCTTGCCTGTGGCCCCCCAGGGCCCACACCAGGGTCCAGGCCCACCAGATCAGCAGCTCTAGAGACGTACTTGTAGGTTGGAATGTTCCAGAGGCCCTGCCACTTATATGTCTTCAGGGACAACCACTCAAGTGTCTTCATGCCACAGTAGATGCCCAGCCCGTTGCAGACGAGCACGTCCATGATCCACTGGGGATGGGAGCCAGGTGGGAGGTGGAGCCATGGGCCCCCAGCACCAACGGCCCCGTCGGGAGGGGACCCGGAGCTGCCCTCCTCCCCCCACGGTGCGGCCGGCGGGGATGGGGGCACGGGCTTGTGGCAGGTCTGGGGAGGCACCTACGTGGTCCCACCAGCACTCGCTGAAGTTGGGCAGCTGGTGCTCCAGGCTGTACTCCAGGAACTCGAACATCACGCTCACAATCGTGCACATCCACCAGTCGCGGATCATCAGGGTCTGTGGCCGAGGCCGGGGCATCAGCTCTCCGCAGTGGGACCCCCAGGGACAGCACGCCCCTCCCCCCCCCTCCCCACAGTCCTCAGGTGACACAGAGGCAGGAAGCGGCCCAGCTTCCACTCCAGCTGCCCTGATTCAGGACGCTGAGGCAACTCTCAGGGGTGTCCCAGCCTAGGGGGTGCGTGCGATTAGCTATGGGCTTGTCCCACCCAGGGACTGGGGGCCTCCGTGGGTCAGTCTCCTGTGCTCTCTGCTGGCCACTGCAATGCCCAGGACACATGAGGTTGGGCTGGGACCCCAAGCCCAGCAGCCTGCCTATCCAGCACTGTGGGCCCCGCCCACCACACGGCTGGAAAACCACCCAGAGCTCAGGGTGGGCCTGAAACCAGGTGTCCTGTCCAACAAGGAGGTACCTACCTTTAAGTACCAGCCGATGAAGTGTGCAGGCACGAAGCCGTCCAGCTTGTCCTGTGGGGGCAGATACAGGCTTCGTGCTTGGTCCCCCAGTGTGAGCTTGGGAGGGGACCCTGCCACTACCAGAGGGCACCCTCACATGTGAGCTGCTCAGCCCCCGGGTCCCCCGCCCCCTCCAGTCTGCAGAATGACTCAGGTTCCAGAAACACCCATACCTGGGGCAGCTCCTAGAAGCCTGTTCAATAATCCGCCAAGCGCCACGCGCAGGATGTGGTACAGCTTTGCCAGGAGGAGCCCCCATAGCTTGAGGCCAGTCAGGTGACCTCTCCTGGGCACTCACCCAGACGTTGTGGAAGGGATCGGTCTTGTTGTCCGCATCGTAGATGAGGCAGTTTCCCCCATAGTCCCTCTCTGGCAGCGGGACCCCCAACCTGGGGTCCACGTACTTCAGAAACTGGCGGCCGTCCTGGACGGTCTGCAAGGGCAGTGCCCGTGTCAACAGGGCGGGTTTGCAGTGTGCAGACAGCGCCCACCGACCAGGAGGGGAAGCACCTGTCTCAGTGTGGCCCCACTTGGGGCCAGGCAGAATGGGGGTATCTCAGGTCCGAGGGTGTCCCCATGCCCCCATGGGGTCACAGGTGTGCCTCCCATGGAGAGGCTCAGATCACCATCTCCCCCTCCCCTCCCCTAGTCTGTTCGGGGTCCAGACCCCACAGAGAGGAACGGCATCGTGGGATGCACTTCTTCACACGGTGCCTAGGCAGCCTCTCCTGACACGAAGGTGCCAACGTCAGCCAAACATGCCTCTAGACCCAGCACAGAGACTTTGGGTGTCACCCCCAGTGGGGGAGGACCCCCAGCAAGAGAGCCCTGTTCCTCCCTCTACCCCCTCTGGCCACCAGCTGGGGCCCCAGACCCCCGTCATCAGGACCCTGAGTACCAGCCAAGGGGCACACAGGGAGGAGGCTCCAGGTGGGTGAGCAGATGTGGTCTGTGGTGTGCGGACAGATGATGCCCAGACCTGCATCTTGTCACGCGACTGAGGTGAAGCCATGAACAACTGAAATGTCCCCACACATGCTCTGGGAATATGGGATCTGAGGGCCAGGAAGCAGGGCAGCACCTGTCAGCACTGCGTCCTGAGTCAGGATGGCCCCTGGACTCTGGCGCCAGGACAGCGGGACTCAGAGCCCTGGACACTCATGCCTCAGAAGTGAGCAGCACAAGTGTAACAAGTCTGTCTCAGGGCATCGGAGGAAGTCGGCTGTCGTCCCAGCCTTGGGCTCGTCAACCAAGCCCAGAGGCCAGACCAGGAACCTCCACTCCAGCAAAGGCCGAGGAGGCCGACTGAGCCCTGGATCCTGTGGGACGGGGCAGCAGCCAGGCAGGAAGTCTGCACACAAAAGCCAGGCCCCACATGGCTCCACGCTGATTGACAGGGCCCAGATCTTGGTTCCTGAGACCATTCCAAAGAAACCAGGCTCCCTGGAGAAATTGTTGACTCCAGGGCTGGGGCAGGGGGAGCCAGGATGGGCCTGGGTGGGGGTGTCTTCCAGCGCCAAAAGGAGGAAGGTGCTCAGAAACATGAAACAAAACACTGGGAACCCACAAAGATGGGGCATGTGAAAGCCCCTGGCAGCCAAAACTGGAACAATTTGAGCAATGGATCAAATTCTGACTTATAACCCAGAGGATAACATAGATAACTGTGAGGAGGCACTGATGTCAGAAACGAGTTGGGGAGAAGACACCCCCACCCCCCACAGGCTCCCTGCTGGGCTGTGGAGCTTCTCCCGCTCCTGTGAGGGGCCTCCCTCCTCAGGGCAAGGGGCAGGGGAACCTGACAGACACGCCTGCCAGGGATCTGGATTATCACCAGCGGTCAGGGGTCAGGGTCAGGATCGTGTGTCAAATCCTAAAAGGAACACCAGACACACCCCCTGCAACCCTGATAGCAAAGCCAGAAAAACACATTCCAGGCCAACTACAGACAGTGTCTCTTATGAAAACAGTCGCAAAAATCGTCTGCAGAATACTGGGTAAGTAAATTCAGCAGCATATACAGAGGACCATACCCCATGACCAAGCGAATTTATCCCAGGAGTGCTGAGCTGGTTCAAAATGAGGAAATGAATTAACACATCACGTTAATAAAGGGAAAAACCCACATGATCATGTCATCTGATGCAAAAAAAAGCATCAAACCAATAAAATTCAACAGCCTCTCATGATAAAAACACTCAACAAATTAGGAAGAGTGGAACTTCCTCCACTGATAAAGGGCATCTGGTAAGGGCTCCCTACTGAGAAGTTGGGGGTGAGAAGGCTGGTGCTGGGGCAGTGAGGCCAGAGATGGACAGACACAGGTTGGTGAGGATGACGTGAACCCCTGTTTTCCTGCAGAGACCCCTTCAGAAGCCCCTGCACAGCAGCAGAGCTGTAAGAATGAATGAGTCAGGTGCGCTGACAGCACAGAGCAAATAGGCTGCGTTTCCAGATCCAGGACCAGCAGAGCAACGCAAAGCCAAGATAAGCCCACTGAGGACAGCGTCAGGAGGAGTGACACCTAGCGATACACTCTGAAAACCACAGAGCACTGCTGGGAGAAATCAAAGACCCGCCTAAGGGGAGAATCTTGTGCTGCAGAGAAGAGGATAAACTGAGAGAAGGTGCGGGTTTTACTTAACAATGACTAATTGTAACAGATGATTCACATTAGTGTAAGATGTTCATAACAGGAGAAACTTGGTGAAGGACTAATGAAATCAACCTCTCCGCACCAACCTCACAATCCTGTAAGTCTGCTTTAAAATAAAGTGTCTTTTAAATGAATAAAACAAAATAGGGACCATTAATAAAAATCAACCAGAACAAAAACTGGTCTCCCCAAGACATACCGATGTCCACAAACGCGTGTAGAGATGCTCAGCGTCATGAGCAATCAAACCACAGGAGACACGTCACCACTTTACACCAAGAGCTGGGGGAACGTGGAGAAACTGGAAGCTGTGCATGGCTGGTGGGGCTGTAATGTGGGCAGAGCCTCCGTGGAGCGCAGTCCGGCAGCTCCTCTAGAGGTTAACCAGGATTCCTCAGCAGTCCCGCTTCCAGGCGGGTCCTCAGAGGAAGGGAAAGCAGGGCTGAACAGACACTCACGCACCCACATCCACAGCAGCATTACGTACAGTCGCCAAAAGTGGAGGCAACCTAAGTGCCCACTCATCATAAGTGAACACACAAACATGGTATAAACACAGCATGGTATGCTGCTCAGCCTTAAAAAGGAAAGAAACCCTGACACAGGCTGCAACACAGATGGACCTTGAGGACATAATGCTCAGAGAAATAATCCAGTCACAGAAGGACAGATGCTGTCTCACTTCCCCCGACAGGAGGTCCCTGGAGGGGTCGCATCCATAGACACAGGAAGTGGACGGTGCGGGGGCGGGGGGTGCTGGGAAGGTGGGGGGAGGGCAGTGAGTGTCCATTTGGGAAGATGAACAGATTCTGGGGATGACGGTGGGGAAGGTAACACAGCCAGGTGAATGTCTCAGTGTCCCGAGCCGTGCGCCTGGAAGTGGTTGAGATGGTAAATTTTATGTATTTTTTTTTCACTAAAATTAAAAAATATTTTTAATTAAATGCACTACAATAAACCTCCCCAAAACTGTACCAAATTCTACATACACGTGTGTGTGCGTACATGTGAGTAAAACTGCTCTGTGGATTGCATCAATATCAATTTCTTGGTTTGATACTGTCTTATATATATATATATTTATTTTAAACTGAAGCATAGTTGACTCTAATGGCCGAAAGTGGAGAGAAACTAAAGAGCCTCTTGCTGCCAGTGAAAGAGGAGAGTGAAAAAGCTGGCTTAAAACGCAACATTAAAAAAACTAAGATCATGGCATCCGGTCTCATCAAGGGTGCGTGCTCAGTCACTTATGTCCAACTCTTTTCAACCCTACAGACTGTAGCCCTCCACGCTCCTCTGTCCACAGAATTCTCCAGGCAAGAATACTGCCTGGAATACTGGGTGGATTGCCATGCCCTCTTCCAGGGGATCTTCCTGACCCAGGGCTCAAGCCCAAGGCCTCCGACGCCTTCTGCATCCCACTGCTGAGCCACCAGGGAAGCCCCTCCAGTCCCATCACTTCATGGCAAATAGCAGGGGAAAAAGTGGAAGCAGTGACAGACTTTATTTTCCTGGGCTCCAAAATCACTGCAGCCATGAAATTAAAAGATGCTTGCTCCTTGGAAGCAAAGCAATGACAAACCTAGACACCATGTTAAAAAGCAGAGATATTACTTTGCCGACAAAAGTAAGTATAGTCAAAGCTATGGTTTCTCTAGTAGTCATGTATGGATGTGAGAGCTGGACAATAAAAAAGACACAGAGTCAAAGAATTGATGCCTTCGAACTTGGTGCTGGAGAAGACTCCTGAGCATCCCTTGGATGCAAGGAGATCCAACCACCCATCCTAAAGGAAATCAACCCTGAATATTCATGAAAGGACTGAGGCTGAAGCTGAAATTCCAGTACTTTGGCCATCTGATGTGAAGAGCTGACTCATGGAAGAGACCCTGATGCTGGGAAAGACTGAAGGAAGGAGAAGGGAGTGGCAGAGGATGAGGTTAGATGGCATCACTGACTCAGTGGACATGAATTTACTCCGGAAGACAGTAAGGGACAGAGGAGCCTGTCGTGCTGCAGTCCATGAGGTCACAAAGAGTCAGACACAACACACTGACTGAACAATAGCTGACTTACAATACTGTGTTAATTTCAGGTACACATGCTATCTTATTTTTATGCAAAACATTGAGGGACCAGGTAAAAGAACACAGAACCTACCTGTACAATTTTTTCACAACTTCCTGTGAATCTAATTATTCCAAAACAAAATGTAAAAAGAAACTCAACATGAGTGAACAATCTTGGTGTAAAATATAAAACCATGATGGTTTTAACAGAAAACATGGGAGAACATCTTAATAAATTGGTCTTGGACAAAGAAGTCTTACACATGACATCAAAAGCAAAAAAAGAGAAGACACAAGGCCCACCACTGTTAAAAGAAGGCCCAGCTGCAGCCTTGGAGAAGGAACGTGCAAGCCACAGCTGGCAGAGGGCCTTGTGCCGGGACAGCATAAAAATCGTTAACACTACAGTAACAAACTGCCAGATTTCTAAAAAGGGCAAAAATAAACGCTTCACCAAAGAGGATGTTTGTTTCCTGGGTCATAAATGCAGGAGAAGTTGGTAAACATCATGAGCCATTCTAGAAATGCAGTGAAACCCATGAAAACAGACACTGGCTAAAATAAAAGATGACGGCAAGAGCTGTGAGGGCCCTGGCAACCGGGCTGACCCACCACGACGCAGGAGCACTCCCGGGGTCCGGTCACACCAGAGCCTGTGTCGGAGGCTCCTCTCACACCCGCCCCACACCAGACGCACACTGCTGGAGGGACAGACAGATGGCGGTGCCTCCACCAGAAACACCTTCCACGGCAGGGGAGTGGATGCTGGCAGGCAGCCGGGTGAGCTTCAAGGCTGCGAAGGCCACGCGGCTCCACTCACACGAGTGTCCGAGACAAACGGCAGGGGTGCAGGGAACAGACTGTGGCTGCAGGGCAGGACCGCGGGGGCCAGGCTAACTCTGGCGTGTACACACACACACGAGACACACACACACACACAGCGCCACGATTCCCGGCCCTGCACACCTTCCCTAAAGGCAGACTTTCCCACGTGATAATAACTCACTCAACCATTGCTGACGGTTCTGAGACTGAATACTGAAGTCCACCCTCAAAGGCACACTTGCTTAACCCAGCAGAGCAAGGAGTGTTATCAGACAGATGACGGCGGCAACAAATCCTGATCCAAGATTTCCTAAGGAGATGAGTTTCTAACCTCCTCCCACTGACCACCTTGCCGAACACATGCCAGAAGAGACAAACGCACATGCAGCCATGGTCGTCCACAGACCAGAAGTGAGGCCATGGCGACTGGCCCGGCCCACCACCGATGCTCAGCGTCCCATGTCTGCTGCCAGAGCCTTCTCTGCCACCTCACACCCACCTGAACCGCCCCCATTCATGTAACCAAGAAAAACCGCTTACCTGGAAGAGTATAAAGATGAGAAACAGCTCGTAGACCACACTAACGCAGAGCCAAAATCTCCAGTAAGCTGCAGAGACAGAACACAGGGTTAGGGGTGCCCGCCCCGGGGCTCCCCAGACCCCCACGTGGCTCCTGCACACCCAACATGAATGGGCCCTGCTCCAGGCCCCTCTCGGGCTCCTCGCAGAGACTTCAGAAGCGAGCTCTAACCCAGGGGTGAGCACACAGTTTCTCTCCGGTATGCTTTTCCTTCCTTTTCTTCCATTCCTGTCCCTAATCTTCCATTTCTTTTTGTCTCACTGCCACAGCAGAGAAGGCCCGCAAACCACTGGACACAAGCAAAGGTCCTTGTCTTGTGTCCACTGGGGACACTCCTAACTTTCATCACTAAGTAGGTCTGCAGGGTTTTGGTAGAGACTTTTTGTCAAGTTTAAGAAAATCTCTTAATCCCAGAGTGCTGTCGAATCGGTTCTATCATGAACGAATATGAAAACCTATTCTTCTGCATTCATGGGAATCCATTTTTTACCTTCAGTGTTAGTGTGATGAGTGATGTTAACACATTTTCTAACATTACGTGGTCCCGAATTCCTGGGATGACGACTTGCTTTAGGAAACTGCCCTGAGTTGCGGTCAGCACACCTGTCCCGTGGTGACACGTGGCATGTGCATTATGTGCTTCAAGGTTGCTGAGTCCATCTTAAGTGTTCTCACCGTAAAAACAGCTGAGGTTGCACGAGGTGGCAGAGGTGCTAACTAGCCATACTGCAGTAACCATTCTACAATATGTGCATGAAGTCATCACTCAGAACCCTTAAGCTCACGTCATGTGTCAATTACATCCCAACAAAGCTGGAAGAAGCAGCCCTTCTGTTAGCTGGTTCTCTCCCTCACCACCCGCCTTCCACTCTCTCAACTCAACCTTCCCTGGCAGATGAGACAGTGGGAAAGGGAAGGTCTAGAGCTGCTCCAAGAATCTTCATAAACCTGTTTAATAAGTCCTACGATACCTGCTTTCCCTATGCTTATGTCTGTGGGGAAAAAAAAGCCCACCACCAGGCTACTTTTAACAGCTAATTAAAAAATAAGCTGTGCACACACACTTGGCCACGGTTATTCCACAGCTATTCCAGGTCACCCATGACCATGGTACATGCCCTCCCACCCTGAGCTTCGCTGGGATACAGGCCAGGCCGTGCGGCAGGCGGGCGGGGCGTGTGCGGCGCTCGCCTCCTAGGTTTGCGTCCCTTGGCAGCCGCCTTGGCTCAGCTGTGCACACACTGGGCCCTGGGGTGGCCCGGCGCCTTGGAGCCAGCCCCGCATCTGTTTGCCAGATCTGTGAGCACCCAGTCTCGCACAGGCAGAAAACACAGGCTGGTGAATTCTTGGGAAAATTGGCTATGTACTCGGGAAGTAAACAGCTGGAGTGACAAGCATTCCTCATGCTCTTGAAGATGGGGACACCTGGAAAATTCTCCCTGGTTCGAGGCTCCAGCAGCAGCTCCAGGGCTGTGGCGGGGGATGCAGGGGAAGACAACTGTGGGGACCGGCCGCTGCCTATGAGGGCGGCTCTGTCCCGCCTTGTCCACATGCACGTGGGTCAGAAAGGCCCCCCACCCCCCAACCAGGAGTCCAGGCCTATGCACCCCCACCCCCAGTGCCCAGAGGCCCTTGTCCATCCCCCTGCCAGGGTCGCCACATGACCCCCCAGCACCGCCCTGCGCTCCCTGAACCACCCAGAGGCTCCTGAAGCTGGTTCCCTGAGTCTGTCTGCCCCACTCCCCAGCCGAGCACTTTTCTTCCTAAACATCAACACTGGCCACCTCAACAGCACTGACAACGTGCCTACTTAACTCCAGCTTTCAGAGACAGCCACAAATAAAAATAAAAATCATGAAAGGAAGGGGGCCTTTTTAACAGGCCAGACCCAATTCCAATTTCCAAATAAATCAGCTCCCCAGACCGGTGGGCCTGGAGCCCCATGTCTGCTCCCCCAGGAGCAACCTGAGCCAGGCCCAGGAGGGCGGGGCCGGGGGGGGGTGGATGGAGACCACGAAACATATCCTTACACTGTCCTCCGGCCTGCAGAGGCAACCTGATTTCAGGATTTGAGGACTTCCCACCGAGCACCAGGTGAACAAGACGTCTGGCAGGTGGTCCTGGACAGGCACCGTGGTGGGTGACTGAGGCTGGCAGAGAAGGTTTACGTACAGCAACTAAAGAAGGGCAAGGCCACGGTCGGAACACAGACTCAGACACCATGGAGGGGAGGCTGGCCGGGCCCACCTGGCCCAGAGCCGCAGTCGGGCTCGACCACACGACAAAGTCCTGTTGGGCCAACCGGGCGGGCCCCACCTGTCCTGCCCCCCAGCGACTTCACCAGGTCCTGGCGCCCACGTGGCCTTGCTGCCCCCACCATGAACGGGTCCCGAAGGAGCCTCTAGCACTCGTGTTCTCCCTCCCACGTCCGTCTGACAAGCATTGAACCTGGTTTCTCACTGGCTCTGGTTTCTGACACTCGAGCTCACTCCTCCCCGACTCTGGTTAGGAGACCACACCCTCCCTGGACAGGCCCAAACCAGTGGAGGCGGTCCTGCAGCCCAAGTGAGGGAGGCCAGGACAATCACAGCGCCCCACGCCCCAGGCAGGGGCCACACAGGCTTCACCCACACCAACGTCTCGAGGGGCCAAGCGGCCAGTGAGACCCCGGCTCAGAGCCCCTGGCACATGACCCCCGAGCCCTCCCTTCTGGAACAAAGCTGGGCAACACCCAACACGGACCCTTAATCTGCCGCTTCCACAGGTAATCGGATGGGGCAACCGTGTGCACACGTGGAAATTCACCACAGCCTAGTTTATCACCACGGAACTGGAAACCCCCAAGCAACACCATCATTCTAGGATGGGATTCGTGCGTGTAGTACATTCAGATGAGGACTGAAGCCACCAAAACTCCAGTTCTCAAAATGTTCACAAGGATGTGCTTGTGTGAAGCCTGAAGTGAACAGTGATGACACAGAACACAAGTGCAGTCCACTGCTAACTTTTTTTACAGCTGTGTATGTATACATGTATACAAACACACTAAAACTTAACGGTGGTTACTTTCATGAGTGGGTTTTATTTTCATCTAAAAGTATGACCCTGGGATGGAGGCGGGATGGTGGAGGCAGGAGAGCTGGTTGCATACGGCGCCCAGAGAGCCCCCACCGTGAACAGCAAGGTTGGGGGGGGGCCTGCAGCGGAGAGCTGAGCCACGCCAAGTGCCCTGTGTGGCCCCAGGGCCCCCCCGCCCCCAGGAAGACTTCCCTGACTAGCACAGGGTGGGCAGCAATGGGACAGGAGGGCCCAGAGCGGGGATGGGGTGGGGGACACACAGAAGAGGGCGAGCAGCCCAGAGAAGGGGGGCTTCCTGACTCCAGCAAAGCCGGTCTCGCCCACCCTCCTCGCTGATGTGTGCAGGCCAGACGGGGCGGGGCAGGACACTCACACGCAGCAGCACAGACACAACGAGACCCTCAGAACAGCACCACCACTCGGCACACACGGAGAAAGAAATGGCAAGTTACCTGGATGAGGTCTGGAAAATGGCCCGTCTTTAGCTTGTGTGACTCCAAAACATAAGAAAACCAAAATACTGGCCACAATACCTCTGCAAATAAAGAACAAACAGCCCTCAGTGTGCGGAAGCGTGAAGCTCTGGGTCGGCTCCTCCCAGGCAGGAGGTGGGAGGCTGGGGCACCCACGGTGGGGACCGCCCCGACTCCCAGTGGGGCGGAGCTGAGGCTTAGCCGTGGTGAAGCTGGTGGCTTAGCACCGCCACCCTGGCCTGCATGGCCCCCAGAGGCAGCACCACCCCCGGAGAAGGCCCTGGCCCCAGGCTGGCTTCTGTGTGCCATCAAGCACTACACCACTAAAGCAGGCTGCATGTTGAAGGCACACACCACAAACAAACAAAAAACTCCTCCAAGTCCACACATGATGGTCCAGGGCTCAATAAGCCCCAGAAGGAAAGATGCTATCAGGGCCCCAGGGCTTCCTGCTCCAGCAGGCAGGCCCCTGGTGGCCCTCTCACCCCAGGGCTGCGTACCCAGGCCCAGCAGGAGACAGCAAAGGCCACGCAGACACACACGGCACCCTGCCCGCCACAGGAGCCGGTCCCCGTGTTGCGGTCCAGGCCATGGCTATCCCATGCGGCCTGGGGGCAGGCCTGAGGACCCCGAGTCCCGGCCCCAGCCCTGGCGGTCGGCGCAGACTGGCTTCGGGGAGCGCAGGCGGAGCCGCCCGGGGCGGCGGCCATGCTTCACAGCCCAGCGAAAGGGCTGAGATGCCCTCCCACCCGGAGACTACCTGGGAAAACCTGTCCACCAGAAGCACTTTTTTTTTTCCACACAGAATACAGTTTATTGTTATTATATGCACATTTTACTGAAAATCAGGAAGTCACATAAAACAGCAACAGCTTTTAACAGAAAAAAAATTCAAGTACATTAAGAGATTTTAAGTAGCTTTAGTACCTTCACTACACTTTGCTTTTCACTGCTTTTTTTTAAAAAACAAATCCCCAAAGAATAATTTTACTTTTGATTTTAGAGTGATTTTTAATTATATTTTCTTACATTTAAGATTTCCAAAAAATGTGTGTACAGACTGTTATGTTCTTGGGATTAAAAAAACACATTAGTGCTCGCTTCGGCAGTGCATATACTGGAATTGGAACGATACAGAGAAGATTAGCATGGCCCCTGCACAAGGATGACACGCAAATTCGTGAAGCGTTCCATAAAAAAGAAAAAAAAAAACACACATTAATGACTCCCAATTTCCACTGAATATAATCTGTATTCGCAAACATGACATTTGAAGACCTTCAGTTTTCATTAGCCCGTCACAGGCGAGATGGACCCGGGGCTGATCTCGTCTTATTAAATTATGGAAATCGGTAAAGAAGGACATTCCAACAGTCTATCCTCACACCCCAGATGAGAATCCCAGGTTCCGGGAAACTCTTTCGGCCATCCCTAGGGAAACCGGAAGTCCAGAAGCACTTTTAGAGGAAAGCAGATAAATTACATTTTAAAATAATCTTTTAATTTCACAACAGAAAAGTTACAGACAGTGCAGAATTTCCCACATCCATCAGTTTGGGGCCTGTCACCATGAACCAATACAGACACAATAACTCAAGTCCACAGTGTTTCTTTTTTCCAGATCTCCGCAGCTTTCAAACGAACGTCCTTTTCCTGCTCCAGGCCCCCACCCAGGCCCCACTGGGCCCTGTCTCCTCGGGCTCCTCTGGGCTCTGGCGGGCTCCTGGACGGCCCCGTTTTGGCGAGCTGCGCAGCTCTGAGGGGGACCGGGCAGGTGTTTCGTGGGCGCCGCTGAATGAAGGCTGTTGCTGTTCATGATTAGACCAGGGTTACAGGGTTTTTGGAAGTGAGACTACAGGTGTTAAGATCATCTTCCCATCGCATCAACATGGACACCACCCGGACCACTGGTGCCGACTGGACCCCCGCAGGGTGCCTGTCCGGTGTCCCCCTCGCCCTCGGGAGGCCCCTGCATGGGGGGGCGGAGCAGCTCCACAGCCCGACAGGAACCCTTCTGTGCAGGAGACACATGTCCTGACTCGCCTCTGACATCAGCATGGACTCGAGGGTGTCTACATTACACTTGGGTTACAATTCAGCACTTGAATGATTTCTTTGCTCAAATTGTTCCAGCGTTGGCTGCTGGGAGCTTTCATTCAGCTGCTGTATCTCTTTGACATACCCTATCTTTGTGGGTTTTTTTTTTAAGCATTCCCTCCCTTTTGGTGCTGGAAGATACCCCAGGCCCATCTTGGGGGCTCCCTGTCCCAGCCCTAGAATCGGCCATTTCTCCAGGGAGTCTGGTTCCTTTACTGGAGAATGAATGGTCTTAGGAACCAAGATCTGGGCGGCCATGTGCTCCTTCCCTCCGGACCCTCTTGGCCAACAGAACAACAAGATGTGTTGTGTGTCAACCTTGCACACACGCACACTACAAATAGTCCTGTGTGTAACCTGGCTCCACATTGCACTGCACCTGAGTCCTCACTGATGCCCCAGCAGCATCTCTTATCCACGGTCGCTCACCCCTCGGTCGCCTACGACCTCCCCCCCAGCACTGAGGCTCTCGGCCCCCACCCGCCACCCGTGTGGTCCCAGGGCACGCGCAGCAGGGACCCTGCTGCTAACCCGCACCCGTGGGAACCAGCTTCACCTCCAGGGCACAGTGCTCTGTGCACATCCTGGGCATTCACGCTTGCAGACCCCACTCATGTCTACAAGGTAACTTACTGGGATTTGGTTGGGATCTCACTGAATCTATAGGTCAAGAAGAAATGACACCTCACCAATACTGAGATCCTATCAGCGAACATGGACTATGGGTCCCCTGATTTAGATCTTTGATTTCAGTCCTCAAAATTTTGTAGTTTTTCTTATGTGGATCCTGTACACTTTTTTTTAAAATTTACACCTGAGCGTTTAATTTTCTCAGGTGACTGCGGTCAGCGCCTGCCCCCGGCCCCTCCCTGAGGCTCCGCGCTCACGCTAAGGCAGGGGCTCCTCCTTTCACGCCGCATTCCTGCCTGGGGTCCTCCGCCTGCTAAACAGTCTTTAAAAGCTGCACACTTAGGTTGGTGTTGTTCAGTCCTGTATTCACCATTACGACATCAACCCGACAGTTTCAATGCTCCCAAATTCCCATACTCCACCTCTTCACACTCCTCTGTCCCAGGAAACCACTCCTCTCTCCCCTCACAGCTCTGCCGTGTCCAGATGCCACAGCGCTGGGCTCACATGGTATGCAGCCTTCCAGATGGGCTTCTTTCACTCAACAATAGGCACTTAAGCTTCATCTCTGTCTCCATGGCTTGGCAGCTCATTTCTTTTTACTGCTTAATAATATTCCACTGTATGAATGAATGCAGTCCACTGTCCACCCATTCAGCCACCAAGGACATTTTGGGGGCTTCCAAGTTCGGTGCTTCCAAACGAAGCTGCTCTGACGCCCCAGTGCAGGTTCTGTGGCCGTGAGTGCTCAGCTCCTCCACCAAGGTGCACAGCTGTTGCTTTCTGCTTCATCCTGTGATGGACGCTCCTGCTGCCCCAGGCATCGCCAGCACCTGGTGCTGCCCGCTGGGGCCGCTGGGGCATGTGTGCGGCGGCACTCCCTGCGGACGCACGGGGCTGCGTGTCCTTTCCTGCGCTCACGTCCTTGCTGGTGTCCATCCAGACCTCCCGCCAGGTTCGTCTGTGCTGCTGAATCCCCGTGCGGAGCTCTGGAGCTCTCTGCACAGTGAAGACAGACATGCCATCAGGCGCTTGTCTGGCGAATGTCCCCCACCAGCCTGCGGCTTGTCTTCTTGCTGTCTCAGCAGTGTGTTTTGTAGAGCATAAGTTTTTCATTTTAATCAAGTCCACAGAGCCTCTTTTTGGCATTCTATTTAAAGAGCCATCAGGACTCCCCTGGAGATCTAGTGGTTAAGACACCTGCTTCCCTGCAGGGGGCGCCAGATTGGTCCCTGGGAACTACAATCCCACAGGCTGCGGGGCATGGACAAAAAAGCCATTATCAAACCCATCACCAGATTTTCTCCTGTGTTTTTTTTCAATAAATTTTAGTCTCTATTTTACATTTAGGTCTATAATCCATTTTGAATTTATTCCTGTGCAAAGTATATCAGATCTGGTTACCCCAAGGCCACTTGTCCAACACTCTTTCTCTGCTGACTTGCCTTTCTCCTCCGTCAAGGACGTGTGGCTCTGGGCTCTGCTTTAGCTTCCTCCAGCAACACTGTGCTGACCACTGCACCTGCGTGCAGCCAGCTCTGCAGCTGGGCAGCCTCTGCCCTCTGGCAGGTTCCTCCTAAGTGCCGTGGGTACATTGTATTTCTTTTTGTTACAAAGAGGCAACATACATTGATATTGTACATGTATTGATAAGTCTATACATTTACAAGTGCATTAAGTCCATCCTAAAGGAAATCAGTCCTGGGTGTTCTTTGGAAGGACTGATGTTGAAGCTGAAGCTCCAATATTTTGGCCATCTGATGCAAAGAGCTGACTCATCTGAAAAGACCCTGATGCTGGGAAAGATTGAAGGCAGGAGGAAAAGGGGACGACAGAGGAGGAGATGGTTGGATGGCATCACCGACTCAGTGGACATGGATTTGGGTGGACTCTAGGAGTTGGTGATGGACAGGGAGGCCTGGTGTGCTGCGGTTCATGGGGTCGCAGAATTGGACACGACTAAGCGACTGAACTGAACCGATGTGCGTATGTATGTAAACATCCCAAGTGTCACCAGCAGATAATGAGCCAAGGAACTGGGGTGTGTCCACACAGTGGACCACCCCCTGGAAACAGACCAGAAGGACTGCTGACAGACACAGCAACACGGGTGTCACAGAACCATCATGCTGAGCAGGAGGGGCCAGACACGAGGGCACGTGCTGGCCGAGACTCTACGACAGGCAAGAAGGGCCTGTGGAGACAGGTCAGAGGGGCCTGTGACCAGCTGGGCAGACTGACCACGGCCTCAGAGGGAGCCCAACACGTACCTCCACCTAGTGGCAGTGTTAATTAGGTGAATGTTGTATTAAATGACACGTCAGTAAAGTTGGCTGAGGAAGGAAATCTACTCTTCTGAAGTGATAGAACATGTTAGATCCATAAAAAGAGGCAAAATTGAAAGTTTAGGGAAAGCAAACCAATTTCCTAAATTTTTAACAACATAAATATTAATAAAAAATAACCATAACTTTTGGGAAGCAAACATCAAAAGCTCTGACATAATAAAAAATAAAAATAAGCATGCCCCAGCAGCCTCCAGAGACACAGGGGGCCTCGTCACAGCCCAGGCTGTGTGAGGTGCTGACTCGGGGAGCAGGCGGGGCCCCCTCTGGGGTCTAAGGGCTCCTGCACACTTGCCGGTCCCTGGGAGAAGCTGCAGAGCCTCGGTCAGGTGCAGGGTGGCGCTTGCAGGCTTCCAGGACAGCCATGGCAGCCCCAAGGGCCTGGAGGGAGCTCTCTTGCCCTGAAGTCGAGAGGGCAGAGGAGCGCCTGGGGCCCCAGACTCCTACCTGCTTGCCCTCCCCAGCCCCGCCTCTGCTGAAATCACACGGGGACCCGGCAGAGACCCAGGCGCCCTGTTGGGGGCACCGCCTGTACCCTCGCTTGGGCACAAATGGCTCAGGAGAAAGGCCGGCGCAGGATGAAGAGCTGGGGATGTGCCCACAGGGGTCCTGGGGCCACTGCCCTGGGGGCAGCCAACACTGACACTGGGGGTTGGAGTGGGGGTCCCTGGGAGCAAGGCTTTGTGACTCACCCAGCAAGCGTCTGGTGAGACCCAGCCCTGCCCCCGGGACGGTGTTTCGAGACACTCTGTATTGGGTGGGGGGGGGGGGTGGCAGTGGCTCTTCCCTGAGACCATGCTTGCCTGGTGACATCAGGACTCCTTGCCTCTGGCCCAACCTCACAGCCACACGGGACACCTCTTCAGTCTGACCAAGTTCTGCTTTCCGGGCTTCTTGCATGGCTGCGCGCAGCAGATGGTGCAAGCCCTCCACCCGGGCGAGCACCCAAATTCACAGCGAAGACCGAGCTCTGTCAGAAACCCCCTCGAAGCAAGTGCAGCACCCCGGCCAGACTGCCTCACTGCCTCCTGAACCCTTGGGGCCTCCTGCGGTGGGGGGGCGGGGGGTGGGCGAACAGCCCAGGGGCCCACCCAGCGGTCCAAGAGCAGCACAGCTGCCTCCTCGGTGCTGGGCCCCGCTCTCTGTGTGCCGGCCTGCAGTGTGACCATGGAGGGCTGGGCACTCAGAGGTGCTAGACTCAGGGGCTGACACGTAGAACTTGGAACGAAGAGGAAGGCCCAGCAAAGCCCACAGGGAGGCAGGAGGGAGGCGGGGGCCAGGAGCCCGGGCAGGAGGCCTGCACCTCACGGGGGAGGGTGAGACGTGCCTGCTGTGTCCTGGGACCTGGCGTCCACGCCACAGTCCAGCTGGAGAGCGAGACCCCAAGGGTGAAGGAGGACAAGCCCAGTCCACCCGCTGAACTTGACCAACAGTCTCCTGGCGCCTCTGGGCTCTGGGCGGTGCCCTCCACCTCTGTTCCTGCCTGGCCTCCTCCAGCTGCCCTACCAGAGCAGGTGGGGGCTGGGCCCCAGGACTGGAACAGCAATGGGGGCTTAATGGGACCAGAGGGGAGAGGTGAGTCCGTCTAGGGTACAAAATACACAGAAACAAGTTCTAAAACCAGTTAATCTTCCCCACGCACTTCTGAGACTGGCCCCGGAATCTACTGGAGTCAGGCAAAGGACACAATCCTGCCAACTAGTCTCTGGAGATAAGACAAGATGGGCCATACTCCTCACACCGGGCCAAAACTTTCCAACAGCCTCTTATCAGCACAGTGCAGGGCGCAGCACTAACTGATGGGAACACTCCTGGCCTTCCAGAAAGCCCAGACACTCAAATTCATAGTCACTGTGACTCACAGCAAGAAATATGGATTTGGTCTTCCTCTGTTTCTAGCCAGAACTCCTAAAGCCCCTGGAATTCCCTAACTGCTGAGGGCTACAAAGCTGTGTTTGGTTATGTTTTGAATCATACCTCCAGATGGGAGGTGCTACCAGGGGAGCCAACCACAGGTCCCGCCAGCCCTCTGGGGAGGATGACGCCAGTGGCCTATGCCTCAGTCGACCGCACTGTGTGAAGAGCCCAGAGACCCGGTGAGTGAACCCAAGGGCCTCCGGGGATGCGCAGGCGCTCAGCACCCCTGCCCCTCCACCCGCCCCACGTCTCCCCATCTGGTTGTCCCTTAGTCTATGGTAAACTTATAATAAATATGCAAAATGCTCCTTGATTTCTGTGAGCCACTCTAGCAAACTAATTGAGCCCAAGGAGGGGGCATCAGATGACAACTGCATTTGCGACTGGGGCCTAAGAGGGCGGGTACAGCCTGGTGGGGCTGAACCTGGGGCCATGTGGCCTGGCGCTGCCCAGGGGACAGCATCGGAACTGAGCTGACCTGCCAGACACTCAGGCGAGGCCTGGAGTGCCAAGTGAATCGGGGGGATGCCGCCCCATCGAAGCTGACCTGAACCCCTGAGCCCTCCTTGGAGCCGGGTCGATGGTGCCAGGGCTGGGCCGGGCAGAAGAGGGGCTGAAAGTGCTGCAAGGCCCCACAGCCCCGGAGTGCCGACCCCTGCCCACTGCTGGGCTGGGTGGGTACCTCTTGGTGTTGTAGGCCGTGTCCCTCGGCGTCTCCTCCAGCAGAGTCACGTAGCCCAGCACGCAGGTGAGGATGAACAGCACGGTCAGGGTATGGGCCCGCCTGCAACACAAACACAGCCCTCGTCGGCACACGGAGAGCACGTGGGTGACACGCCCCTCAAGGAGCGCACTCCATCTCTGACCTGCAGCTCAAAACCCACTGACCGCTGGCTGCCAGTCTCATGATGCTCGGACAGTCCTCTGCCTGCGCGTTGGCTGGGCGGGCATGCAGCGGGGAGCAGGGGGCAGCTCTTGTTCAGAGGGACCGGGCCACAAGTCACACGGCTCAAGTCACACAACAAATGACGCCTAGAGACCAACCTCTCAGTTTATGCCGTGACCGAGTGCGAGAGCCCCGCGAGGGTGATGCAGACACAGGTGCAGAGAGAGGCCCCAGGACCCAGAGTGAGGGCGTGGGTCCCTCCGTCCACCCGGAGACCGGGTGGGGGACGGCTGCCCAGACGGGCTGGGAAGCGGCCCCCCCTCTACCTGGCCACCTGGCTGAGGCTCCAGAGCCCCACGCAGGAGCAAGGAGGTGGCTCTCGGCAGTCAGCAGGCCTGCCTGACCGGAAACACAGCCACAGCCACCACACTGTGTTGAGCACCACGTGCCTGCCGGAGCCCCTGCCTGCTAACAGCTGTCTGCAAAGGAGGCAGAGACCCAGCTCCTAGACCCAAAAGAGCAGAGTGTGTCCTTGGAGAGACACCTCCAGCCTTGAGGGATGTCCTGAAGACTAGGCGGACAACACGCGGGAAGCAGCAAGCCCAGGACTGGCCACCGAGCGTCAGTTCCCTGCCTGCCGTCAGAACCCCGTGAAACACGGAAGACACGGAAGAGTCAGTCACGAGCTTGGAGAAAACATTCACGACACTCATGCCTGACAGAGGCCTCTGTACCCAGAACACACGAAGAGCTCTTAACAACTCAACAGTAAGGACAATCTCCTGAAAATGCAAACAAGACTTGACACACACTTCACAGAAAAAGGTACGTAACTGGCCAGCAACACATGGAAGGCGTGCAGCTTCGCTGGCCAGTGGGAGCAGACAAGCAGCGAGGCTGTGTGGGGATGCTGCAGCAGCCCCCAGCCCGGCCTCCGGCAGGCCCCCACTTCCCCATCCTGATCAGCTAACTTGTTTCTCTCCCATCTTCACTCGACAGCAGTCTGACAGCTGCAACAAAAGATGCTACTGGGAGCCTAGTTGGAACTGCAGTTTCTCGGTTGGTACAGGAAGAACTGATACGTGACTAACACTGCATGCAGGTTCCCCTACCCACAAGACAAGGAATATCTCTCCATCTATTCAGTTGTTATTTTATGCTCTTTATTATGAAAACAGAAACAGTCACATTCAGGTAAGTCAGCTCCAAGTGAAGAAAGCAGACACTGCATTCATTCTTTTACCACATTTCACAACACTGGCATTTAAAACTGTCAGAAGTGAACAAACTCCTATTTTAACTGTTTTAATACAATTCAATATTAACACATTCACGTGTGAATTTGAGGCAGTGAGGGAACTCCAGGACCTCAGCCTTTCAGCTGAACTCCACACAGTGTCTCAGGGCCTGAGGCCGGCACAGATGACATCATACGGTCCAGGCCGTCACTCCTGAGGCTCCCTGGAGGTGGTGACCCAGAAACTCAACTTCTGCTGGACACCGGCCTATACACAAAGGGACTCGGCAAGCTCAGCTGCCTCTCCTGGGTCGAGGACACGGCCCACCCTTCCCACCCGATTTGCACAAGGAGAAGCAGAGCCGCTGAGACCCCACCAGGGCTGAGCTGACAATGACGAGGCATGGGACGCCGCCTCACCTTGGCCCTGTGGATGCTCAGAGCTGAACCACACTGCCAGGGTTACTCAGCTCGGTGATGGGGGCCTGGGGTCTGAGCCCTGCCCAGGACGGCTCCAGCACACCACCAGCAAACCCGTGTTGTGAGCCTGGGAGACCCAGGGCAAGTGCTCCCGGGCAACACACTGGCTAGAATGCCTACCACGCGCCAACAAACCCCAATCCTGCCTTCCTGAGCTGCCGCTCTTGGAGCAAGACAAACAGAGGGCTGGATATGGAGGGAAATGAGGAAGGTAGGAGTGGGGCGCAGAATCAGGGAAGGCCTCACAGCAGCCCCTGGACCTGGAGATGCAGGTCCAGGCCTGTAAGACAAGAGCGAGGGCCATCAGCAGGGCCCACGTGGCTGGAGGAAGGGGTCGAGCAGAGCCACCCAGGGCCGCTGGTGTCCAGCTCCAGGCCTGCAAACACCTGCCTGTGGGGGATGGGGTGGAGCCACAGGATGCCTGCTCGAGCCTGGGATGTCTGCCGCCTGCACCCCGAGGGAGGCAGACGCCGCTCCAGAACGCCCATCTGCCTGCCCCGAGAGGCAGGGGCCACACTTACCCTGGTGAACATTTTCAGAGGAAAAAAGCAGAAAACAGGAATGAAGTCAGAAACCAAGGTGTCAGAACTGGTCCCAAAGGCCGCTGCGGCACAGACTCCTAGCCAGGCTCCTTTTCAGCTCAAACACCAAGTCTGAGCTCAGATTTCTCCTCAAAAACCACAGAGCCCAGAAGTGGGACAAAATTTGTAAAGCAGTGAAAGAAATGTTGAAGCAGCATCCCCAACCCTGAGGAGTGAAGGCGGACAGAGGAAGAAGGCAGGACTCTGGGGAGCAGACTTGCCCTGCAAGAAACACCATGGGAAGTTATCCTGACAGAAGGGAAGTGACATCCGAGGGAAACCCGGTGGCCAGGAAGAGAGAGCCACCAAAGTGGGAAGGAAGACACTCCAGGCACTGTCCTCATGAATGCTGACCGGGGCCACCAGGGCCCACGTCAGAAGGCTGGATGGATCAAGGCGGACTCGAAGTGGCCAAGTGCGTATGCCAGGGCTGGGAATGCTGCGGAATGCTCAGTGTGAACATTGCACTGTGAGACGTTGCAATGACGACACGCTGGGGCTCAGGACACAGGAAGACTCCATGTCCCACCAGACGCCAGAGCTCCCGGAGCATCGCCTGGCTGCCTGGCTAATAGGTGACTCGGGATCCGGGCACAGGGATCACTCGGCTGTGAATCCTGTGACTCGGCCACTGGGCCAGCGTGAGGGCATGAGGACATTGGGCTCCCTGCCACGACCAGTGGAAAATGCCCAGCTGTCAGCCCCTCTCTCGAGATGACCAATTCACTATGCCGCGTGGGCAGGGAGGCAGCCTCCCAAACCAATTAGAGAAGATATGAAGGTGTGGCTGTGAGACTGAGTGAACAGCCAGGTAAGGCCAAGACCAGACGGCCAGTTCCAGGCCTGCGAGAGGCACCGAGGGCCAACGACCAGCCTGACCAAAAAGGCATCAGCTGGCAACTCATGCTGCCCAGATGTGGGCGAAACTGGCAAACCCCAGCACACAATGACTGAGAAGGCATTTCCTGGAACTTGGGGCATCCAAGATAAGCCCTGCAAATTCTCATAACTACTTTTAAAGCATATTGTTAACAGCAGAGCCCCGAGAATCAGTTTAGGGCACTCACCGAAGGCTCAGTGTTGTAAGATGCGAGCACACAACGAGCGTTTCCCAAACGTCACAACCATCCATCTCTTCCCTGACTTGAAGCGTGGTGCCCCAGTGTTGATTCACCTATCTTCTACCTACAGGCAGTAACGTTTAGAAGCACCTGTCAGGGCACTGGGTCTCTAAGAGCGATTGGAACAATGCTGAGACGGTTTGAGCTGCCGCATCTCTGCATGCTTCCCCAGTATTTGTGGTCCTGACGTCTCCCTGAGATGTCCCCCACTGAAGGCACCACGGCCGGCAGAAGAGGGGTCGGTGTCACCGCGGAGCCTGCCAGCCTCTGCCCCTTCCAGCCTGAAGCAGCCCAGACTCGGACGTCAAGGCTCAATCTGAATTCCAAACTGTGTGGCTGATAAGTTGACCCCCAAGCAGCCCAAACTTCTTTGAAAACGAAAACTGTTAGAACAAAGTTTTGAACATGGAAGAGTTATTTTGAGTAACTGTGGAACATATAGTCATTTCCACAAATATATACCTTTTAGTCTTTTTTGGTCTCACTCATTACTAAAATTCCCTAAAACAAAAAATTAAAATGAAAGAGTTTTTAAAATCCCAGCACAGCAAGTCAACGATGGGAGATGCAGAAAGTGGCTGGGCCTTACCAGCAAAAGAGTCATCCTCGCCGGCGAGCGTCTGGTAACCTGCCTGACGGAGACATGAGGCCTCTTCCCCTACTCAGGTGAGGGCAGAAGCCCGGGATGCCACAAAGACCACATACACCAGCACCCCAACATCTGTGGGGGAGAGGCTGGGGCACCCGCCCTAGAGGCAGGTCCCAGGAACCAGCAGCCCTGGGGCATGCCCTCCTCAGAGCCTTCCAGGCTCCCTCAGACCTCCCCACAGGAGAGCCCAACTACGGCAGGCCTTTCTGTGTCCCCATGGGCAGGGACCCATGGGCTGGCACCTGTGCTTCTAAAGATACCTGCACTCGCTCTTCTAACTCTCTGCCTTCTGAGATCAGTGCAAGGCTCAGCAACCCCTGGCCAGCACAGGAAGCCTGCTTGTGCCAGAATCTAAGCTTCTTGTTTCGTCCTCTGTTGTATGCCCTAAAGCAGCAAGTGGCACCCCCCAAGACATGCACTGAATGAATGGGAAAGAAGAAGAGCAAGCCCGGCCACCGCTCCAGGACCTGTCTCCCTTCAGTAGCCAGCAGCTCGGGTGTGGGAGGACTGTGCCCTCTGTCCTGCAGTCTGAAGGGGCCCTGCCCCACAAGCAGGACAGCGGATGGCCTGGTCCACTCAGAGAATGTCCAGCAGGGTCCCACAGTGCTCAAGTCACTAGCTCGGGGGCTGCACCCTCACTGAGGAGGGCACCCCATCCTTTCCCCATCCTTCTGGCTTCAGGCCACTGGTGCACAGCAGCTTCCCAAAGCAGGGCCGGTCGTCGCGTCACCCACCCCTCTCCCACCCCACCCTTGAAGCAGCTGCCTGCACAACAGAGGAGATAACACTGACCTCATCAGAGGGCTGCTTCCCCCACCACACCCTCCCCTTGCGGCCTCTCCTGGGTCAGATATAAGACACATGTGGCCCCACGTGCACCTCCTCTGAGGTTTCCTAGACCTGCTGAAGAAGCTGCTTCCATGCAGCATCCCTGCGGGCTATGGCCCAAAGCCACCACTGTCCCCAGGGCCCATCACGGGACTCAACTTCAGGTGGACCTGAACTGAGCAGCAAAGAACAGCCACAGCCCTCCTCTCAAGAAGCACACTTTCCAGGGTACAGGGTTTGTCCCTCTTAACAAGCAACGGAAGAGAAGCTCAGACAGGCAAAGGGTAGCCCAAGGTCACTGGGTCAACAGGTGCATGAGCCATGTCTGGGACCTGTTGACCCAAGGCTGGTTCCTGGACCCTCAAACGCAGAAGCGCCCAACTCCGCCCATGAACTCTTCCAACTCTGCTCCTGGCTGCCCCTCCCTCGGTGACCGCCCCCCCCCCCCCCCCCCATGAAGGGAGACCAGAGAACGGCCTGACGCCGAGGCTTGGCCAGGTCAGAGCTGTAGAGGGGTCAAAGGACTGGCCTGGCGCGGGGCCACTGAGAGGGAGCGCCTTCCCTCCACACTCGTCCGCTGGGCTCCTGGCGTGGAGGGCGGCGCGGATATTACCCCACTCGCCAGGGGAGCAGGGTGTCATTTCACAGGGCATCCGCACCATCAGAGAAAGGGGACGAACGCAGGGCAGCGGGGTACTGCGGGCAGGGAGGTCAGGAAAAGCCGCTCTGAGGTGACTTCGGAGCCAAACCCTCCCGGGAGAGGGGACAGGAGTCAAAGGTGGGGGCTGGACCACCGGGCAGGCCGTGTCCGGGGGCGCGGCGGCGAGAGCCCGGTCTCGGGGTCCCGGGGCACACTCCACCCGCGCGGCGTGGCCACGCCCCTCGCGACCCCGCCGGCACCCGGCGAACCGCCGTCCCTCACCAGAAGAAGGTGTTGGTACCGTCGTCGTAGACCTCGGACTCGGTGCTGCGGCGGCCCGCGGCCGGCCCGCTCGCTCCGCCCGCGGCCGCGCCGTCCGGCGGCTCCTCCGGCGAGGCCTTGCCCCCCGGCACCGGGGACCCCGGCCGCGGCCCCTCGGCGCCCCGGCGCTCGCCCCTTCGCATGACGCCCGGGCCCCAGCCGCTCCGCCCCGCGCCTTGACCCCACGCACCCGAGTCAGCGCGAGACCGCGCGAAGAGCGCCGGGAAGGGGTCGCGGCGCCCGCTCCGCAGGGTCTCTGGAGAGCAGAGGCTGGGGGCGGCAAGAAAAGGGCGGGCGGTGCATTGTGGGACTTGTAGTCTGAGCGCCTGGGCGCGGGGTATCCTGGGACTCGTAGTCTCCGATGTCATGCGTTAGGAACAGAGCTTGCTGGGAGGGATGCCACCTGGTCGCTAGGTAACTAGCGTTGCGTGAGTTGCGGGAGGAGCGACGTCTCCCTTATCAGGGGCGCCCAGATGCCCCAGACCCTCCTCCTGGGCTGTCTGCCCTGAGCCACGCCCCAAACTCTCCTCCCCAGGCGGCCTGTCCCCAGGCGTGTTCTCCCAGTTTTCACTGGGATCTCCAGACTCTAGCCTCTTGGTGGCCAAAGAGTAGTTCTTAAGAGAGGAGTAGACGTGCTGATCTTGGTTGACTCAGATTATTAATATAGACAGAGCACCCTGCAAAAATATTCAGTGAACCCAATTTGAAAAAGTCTGGCAGCTCCTCAAAGGGTGAGACAAAGTTGCCATGTGACCCAGCAATTCCGTTCCTAGGTACATATTCAAGAGAAATGAAAACATGCAGAACTGTACATGGATATTGTCACCTTTAATAATAAATTAGCCAGTTATTTCACCAGCAAAGGCACTTATTTAGGAATAGCAGAGGAATTGCAACTCAGGGTATGTGAGCAGTGGTGGACCACAGGCAAATCCAGAGAACAAGGTGGGGGAACCTGCTACTCTAGGGAAAAGAGGGAGCTGGGAATAGAGGCTGTGATAACCAGAGTCCATTGGAGGAGCTGGGGATCCAAAGTAAGGAGGTTTCAGGAGGTTGGGTCTCTGCGGTCTCTGTTTGACTGGGCTGTGGGAAGTGGAGAGAAGCTTTCTTTCTCCTGCTGAATATGAAGGAGAGATGCCTTCCTGTTGGGGGTATAGGGGGAGGTAGGTCTTTTTCTGTTTGCACTACCAATGAAAATAAATATGCCATTCAATTTTGCTTAATTTTAGAACTGCCGTCTTCCAATTTAATCTTAAGAAAAACGAATTTGGGGAGATCAAGTTTCCCATAATGGCCATTGTAATTACAGATTACTTTGTTTGACCCACTTAGTTAAAAAAAAAAAGGTTATATGGGGAGGTCCCTAGATTTTAAGCATGAAACCAGCTGGAGTCCCCAAAGGAGGGCTGCCCTCAGAGCATTTAAATGACTGGATCCCATTTCCCTAAGTTCTTCTGAAAACCCAAGAAAGTTGCCAGAGTCCTAGCCTAGATTCCAAAAGGAATAAAACAGAACTCTTAGATCACAATTACCTCAATCCCCCAAAGAGAACCTTGCTAGGTGCTCTCCAGAAAACAACTGAATACTTACCAAGGACGAAACCATCATACCCGTGAAAGGGTTAGGGTTAGGATAAAGTTGAGGGCTCAAAATGCAAAATGAGCAGAGCTCGGAATTTGAGAGGAGACTTGTCAAATCAGAAGCTGGTGGTGACCCACAGAAGAGATAAGCACAGGGAGCCTGGTTCAACACCTCAGTCGATTTCACCTCTTGGGGTTCACCTCCAGATCCCACTTCTGACACCACATATATCAACTTCAATAATACAAATAGCCAGTTATTTTATCAGCAAAAGTTGAGTTTATTCAGAAATATAGAGAAATTGCAATTCAAGATATTTGAACCACAGTGGACCACAGGCAAATCCAGAGAATAAGAAGGGGGGACTTGCTACTATAGGAAAAAGGGGGAGGTGGGATGGACTGTGATAACCAGAGTCCATTGGAGGAGCTGGAGGTCCAAAGTATGGAGGCTTCCTATAGGTTGGAGCACTGTGATCTTGACTGCAATCAGAATGAAGCAGAGAGAAATTTTCTTCTTTCTACTAGATAGTAAATAGAGATGCCGTACTGTCAGAGGTGACAGGGGTATCTCTTATTGTTTGGGGTAATTGATAATGCACAGAGGGCTTGAGAGTTTCCCGTGCAGGCCTGTTCCAACTCTAACTTTAGCTGAAGTTGCTTTAATTAATTCCACAATGTTCAGAGCAACATAATTCATAACTCCCCAAAAGGAAGCAACCTAATGTCCAACAGATGAATGCATGAAAAAATGTGGTATATCCACACAATGGAAAATTATTCAACCATAAAGAGGAATGAAGTTTTGACACATGCTGCAACATGGGTTGTTGTCCATTTTGCTTGAAAATATTATGCTATGAAAGAAGCCAGTCATATAAGACTATGTGTTATATTACCCACCTATATGAAATATCCAGAGTCCAGAACAGGCAAATCATGGGTGAGAATAGTGGCTGGGAAGGGAATGTGGAGTGATTGCTCAAGGGTACTAGGTTTCTTTTTCCTTTAATATGTGTTTATTTATTTGGCTGTACCAGGTCTTAATTGAGGCAACATGGAATCTTTAGTTGTGGCCTGTGGGATTCTCAGTTGCAGACTCCTATGTGTAGCATTGTGGATCTAGTTCCCTGATCGGGGACTGAACCTGAGCCCCTTTCATTGGGAACATGGAGTCTTAGCCACAGGACCACCAGGGAAGTCGCTGGGTTTTTCTTTAGGGCCATGAAAAGTTCTAAAATTGACTGTGGTGATGGTTGCATGTATCTGTGAGTATACTTAAAACTACTGTTCACTCTAAATGCAGGAATTATGTGGTGTATGAACTATACCTCAATAAAGCTGTTATTAATATACATATACGTATTTTCCCAGCTCCCTCTTTGCAGCCTCTCCCAACATGCAGAGGATCTGATTGTAATGTGGAGCCTCAGCTCCTGACCACCAGCTCCCAACAGTCCAAGGACCGACAGACGTGCCAGGACACACTGGCCCCAGGAAGGGTGCAGTCAGGACTTCCTGGGCCTGGGTGCTGCCCTCTGCCTGCCCCTGGGCCACTCCCTACCCCAAGCCAGGGCCGCATCCACTGGGGGTTTCCAGGGTGGCCTGGGCAGCCAGCTTTGCTGTGGCCATCCTCAAGGGTGTGTGTGAGTGTGTGTGCCAGTGAATGGACGTGGGGCTGGAGAGGAAGACCATGGCTGGACCGTGATATCCTTCCTGAGGGGATAGGAAGTTATGATGAGGTTGGCATCACCTGGATGCATTTTAAGGGACTGGGACGTGAGGTCTCCATGGCACTGGCCTACAGAGACTGATGTGCTGGATCTACTTTGCCCAGGGATGTGGTGCTGGACCCATGAGCAGGAAGTGCCCAAAGCAGGCCAGCTCCTGCTGACACTGTCTATCCAGCAAGTGCCCCACAGGCCTGGTTCCCTCCTTTCCTGCCCTCAGGGCGTGGAACCATCCTTCGAGCCCCTCTTTTCTGAGCCCAGGGCTGTTACTCACATTCTAGATGCATCTTGGTGCTGTCAGGATCATTTCCTGGATCTGGGTATTTCCCCCAAACTGCACCAAATTCCTCCTGAGGCTGAGTGGGGCCACCTCCACCTCCCCAGTGTGCAGAGGCCCAGGGTGGAGATGGACCCTGAGGTCAAGTGTGCAGCCCTGGGCTCAGAACCAGTTGGGGTGGCAGGAATAAGACTGGAGGGGTGGGAATGGGGTGAGGTGGAGTGGGGCAGGCACACTCTGCCAGTAGCTGGGGCTATGGAGCTCTGGCTACAGGGCAAGAAGAGTTCCCAACAGCCTTACAAATGGTAACTGTTTTCATCTTTGCATCCCCTTAGGTTCTATGTTTATCTCTGGCTTAGAGAGGAGAAACTGAGGCATGGAAAGGCTGGGAACCCACTCACCCAGTGCCTTCCTTCCCTCTGGAGCCTGGAGCCTCTCCCCCTGAAGCCCTGTACTCTGCAGAGACCTCTGCACCTGCAGCTTTGCATGTGGAGCCTGACATCTCGGGCTCACCTCCACCAAGCCCCTGACCTAACCACGATGCTTCCCCCTGGATGCAGCCCTCTCAGCCCTTCCACCGCAAGACTTGGAGACTGGCTAGAGGTGGAGAGGCAGGGCATCGACAAGGCCCACACAGTTTGCGGCTCAGGTGACCAGGAGGCAGGTGTGAAAGTTAATGAAGGGAGAGCTCCTTTAAAATGAAATCGGGGACTTCCCTGGTGGTCCAGTGGTTAAGAATCTAAGAATATGCCTGCTGATGCAGGAGAAATAGTTTCGATTCCTGGTCCAGGAAGATTCCACGTGTAGAAGAGCAACTAGGCCCCTGCATCACAGCTGCTGAGCCGCTGCTCTAGAGCCTGCGCTCTGCAACAGGAGTGGCCCCTGCAGTGAGAAGCCCGCACACCACAGATGGACAGTAGCCACTGCTTGCTGCAACTAAAGAAAAGCCCGAGCAGCAACAAAGACCCAGCACAGCCAAAAATAAACAGATAAATAAAGAAGTAATTAAAGCAATCCTGAGAAAGAAAGACAGAAATCAGACTCCTTGACTCAGACTATACTACAAAGCTTCACTCATCAAAACTGTGTTTCTGGCGCAAAAGCTGAAGCATATGTCAATGGAACAGGATAGATAACCCAGAAATAAACCCACACACTTAGGGTAAGTCAATCTATGACAAAGGAGCAAGAATATACAATGGAGAAAAGAGAGCCTCTTCAATAAATGATGCTGGGAAAACAGGACAGCTACATGTAACACCATACACAAAAATAAACTCAAAATGGATCAAAGACCTAAATGTAAGGTTGGACACTATAAAACTCTTGGAGGAAATCACAGGTAGAATACTTTTCACATAAATCACATCATGATCTTTTTTGGTCCACCTCCTAATGAAAATAACAAAAATAAACAAATGGGACCTAATTAAACTTAAAACTTTTGCACAGAAAAGGAAACCATAAATAAAGCAAAAAGACAACCCACAGAATGGGAGAATATTTTCAAAAGAAACAACCAACAAGGGATTAATCTTCATAATATATAAACAGTT